TAAGACCGTGCTTGGAGACCTGTGACTTCGACAAACACCGACAATGTGACTCGTGTGCTCAAAGTTTTGAGCTCAGACCGTCGATTAAGTATTCGTTTTATTGCACAGATGTTAATTTTATCATAATATGTGGTTCAGGAGATTGTGACGAAGCACTTGAAGATGCGCAAGGTGTGCGTGAAGATGGTTTCAAAAGTGCTGCCTGACGTACAGAAATTGCGGCGAGTGGAAGAGTGTGCCAAGAAAATTTGAACATGTATAAAAGTGACCCCCAATTTTTGAATAACGTAATCACAGGGGACGAGTCATGGATATTTGAGTATGATCCCGAGACAAAGATAGCATTTTGATACGAGACAGAAAGGATCCAAGCTGCATACACCTCGGCTCTCAAGGTTGTTCTGGAGAATGCCTTCCGTCACACCTTCAATGCTTGAAAGTCTCGCTGGCAACGCTACATCGACGCAGAAGGAACCTATTTTGAATGTTTTTAAAGAATTGTAACGATTTGTTCAATACATTTCTTTAAATCGACTCAGTATTATTACTTTCCGGACAAACCCTGTACTACATATAATGATTTTAATTTTTCTAACAAATCTTATGCCGAATATGACGGTCAGTGTTATATGTATATATAAAATTATTTGAATTCCAATCCTTTGGATAATTCTTTCTTACTTGTTTAGTTTTGAGATTTTAAGTGAATAAATATCTTTCTCCGACAGACATATATTTCGGTGGTCTTCCTGGAGATCGGCTAGGGGATCAATGGAAATCTAAAATTGTCAAAATGAATTGTCGATAATTAAAGTACTATAAATGATGTGCCTCATGCGTAGAATAATTTTTCTACTTTCATCATTTAATACGACTAATCAGTGTAGTAATCTTCCGGCACCGCCTTTACGAGCTGCATTTGTGACCCCAAACCTTTTGGAAACAAATATACATATATAATTTCAAAAGAAATCTAAGCTCGTACCGGTTTATATCACACATATTTATTGTCATATGTACATACTCACACATTTATTTGCATGTTCCATACAACCGGTGGTCTAATAATAATTGTCGATTGCACAATAACTGTACTTTACGTGAAGGTTTTTCTTCTCGTATTGTTCCAGCTATAATTATTGCCTTTTATTGTACGTATTTGTTGTGCTCGTTATAATCGCATTCAACACTGTTGTGGCAACATCCCATTTCTCATTAGCAATTTGCGTCACAATTTGTCGTGTCTATAATTTTTTCTCTAACACAAGACTACACTTTTCAAATATTTATCTAAATTACTTTATACTATGATAGCCAGTTCAATTGACATGCATAAATATGCTTTTATACAACATATGCATTTTATATATAATATAGTATATATATACATATCTACCATGTGTGTGGATGTGTGAATTTACTGTGTAAAAATTGTGAGAGTATCTATTTAAATGGTGTGTAGCTTGAGTTGTAGCTGTAATACAGTATTTTATTGATTTTTGTAATATTATTGATTTATTGTAATATTATATCAGCTATTTGTGGCATATAAAATTCAAGAAGTTAGCGTCACTCAGTTGAAAATGTATCTATACTAATACTACAGAGTTGTCTCAGTCAACATCTGTTGCAACATTTCCCATCACTCAAGTTAAAGTGCATATTCGACGATATATGATATATGCCAACATCGCAAATAGTGGTACACTTCGTAAAGATCAATTCTAACAATACTTTTGGAACCTTTAAGTTTTATGAAACTGAAAATTTGCCGTTTTTTTTATCTAAAAATCTATTTGATTAGCTGATTTCAATAAAATTCGATATATATAGCCCACTTCTAGAAACATATCGATTACATTATAAAAAAATGAATGAAACAAAGAAAACTTCAGTTGATGGTTCCGCCACAAAAACAAAGGTTCTTGTAAGGATTGAAGTCAGGTCATATGACGTTATATGTTGTCCGATCTGACATATTTGTTCGAGAACTGTGCCGTAGCCTTGAAAAATTATTCAGCCAAATTTTGTGGAGATATCTCGTAAAATAATGAATTTGGAAAACTTATACCGGTTCATGGTTTTGATCGTTCAGTTCGTATGGCAGTCTTTTGCTTATGGCAGCTTCCTGGAGAGAAAGAGACTGTATAAAATTTCAAATCGATTTCTCAAAAACCGGCTCGTTCGCGTATATACAGACAAAATGCGCGGACAGCTGAATAGACGGAGATGGCTAAATTGATATGCACATATTTTACGGTGATACAAGCAGAGGAACTTTTTTCAATAGTCGTTTTTTTTTTTTGTGTTTTTTTTTTTTTTTGACATTGTTCAGTATTACCTTACAGATTAGAAGACGGGGGAGAGTGGATTCGGCGCCGTTCGTTGCAACTCAGACTGGCTTATGGAACGACTTGGCCCATTTTACGTCGAGGTCTTAAATGTAAGCGTACAAAATACCGCTTGTTCAAGATCTGAAGCCGCTCGACCTTCTCAAGCGACATCGTTTCGCTTTATGAGCTCTTGAAAAATTCCAAGAAGATACGACGTTTTCAGGCCAAATTTTATTCAGCGATGAGGCCCTTTTCTGGCTTAATGGGTATATAAACAAAAAAAATTGCCGCATTTGGGAGGAAGAACAACTTGAAGAGATTCCAGAGCTGCCATTTCATCCAGAAAAATACGGTTTAGTGTGGTTTGTGAGCCGGTGGAAGCATCGGTCCATAATTTTTCAAAATTGATGACGGTGAGAACGTTAAGCGTTGGTGGCAACGCTGTCGCGTCATAATAAGCGCTTATTTGATGCCTGAAATTGAAGCTCATGATATCAGCAAAATTTCATATTTCGGGCCGGTCGACTAGCCACAAAGATTGTATGATGTCACACGGTTAGACTTTTTCCGGTGAGGTTATGTAAAGTCTAAAGTCTATGCGGACCATACCGTTTCGATTCAGGCCTTGGAGCAAAACATCACGTGTGCCATTCGCCAGTTGCCAGTCGAAATGCTCGAACGAATCATCGAAAATTGGACTCAACGGATAGACCATCCGTGACGTGGCCGCGGCTAAAATTTTGAAGAAAGAATCTTTAAAAACTAAATCCAAAGTTAAAATGATGCTCATTGTCTTTTTTGACATCAAAGGCATCGTCCAACATGAATTAGTTCCTCCTGGACATACCGTTAACGCCAAGTCCTCAAGAGACTCAAACGAAGGGTCAATCAGGTCCGAAAAGATATCGCTACCGATTGGAAGGTACACCACGACAACACCTCGGCTAACAGCGCCTTTCATGTGAACAGCCATCTAACCAAGGCCGGCATCTCAACGCTTCCATAGCCGCCCTACAGCCCAAATGTGGCGCCCCGGACTTTTTTTGTTTCCTTGCCTAAAAAGACCGATGAAAGGCAAGCATTTCTTGACGTCTTCAATGCTTGTAAATCGCGCTGGCAGCGCTGCATCGACGCAAAAGGAGCATATTTGAAAAGTTTTCAAAGAATCCTAGCGATTGGTTTTTTTAAATCGACATAGTCCTATTATATTCCGGATACACCCTGTATATGGCTTATCCTGATTTTAAATGGAATAAATATTGGTGCTGAAGTTTAACTTTACAACTTACTTACCAAACTTTAAATCGTCGATAATTCTTGATGTTCGTAATAATTACCCAATAATGGAGCGTGAGTGATAGAGTAATCAAAGAAAGTATTAATGATCCATACTGGCAAGCTATCAACGATAGCACTAAACTAGATAAGACTTACCACATAGTGGAGCGAGAAGCACTGTGGAACGGCAAAGAAAAATTTAAATGGCAGCCGAACTTAATATTTATTTTAAACACACCTTTTTTCTTTAACATTTTATTGCTTATACGCTCAACGCTATCAATTTTCCTTTATAATTTAGCTTCTCAATTCAAAAAGTTGTGTGAATGGTAACGCCTGCATCATAAAGCTATAACAAGCATATCTTTGCCAATTTAGTTTGTAAAAAAGCAAACTGCCGTTCAATACTAATTGATACTAAATTGACATTTAACGAATCGAAATAAAAGGAAAAAACTTAAAAGCTGTGAAAGCGAGCAAGGAAATTGAGCACTGGCGCATATCCTGCACAAAAAAAAATGTCACTCCAATATTGGCAAGTAAACGTGTTGGCACAAAAAATCCAGCAACTTATTAAGCGAAAAGCCCCGCATACTATCCAACACTGGCACCGTGTTTCCGCTTGTTAATTGCGCTCAATTTCGTGGCAGACTTGCACTTTAGTGATTATGAAAGTTTTTCCTACTTTTTTCACAGGACTTTTGTTTCAATTAATTTAAGAAAAAAAAACTTTAAAAGTAAAGCCATATTAAGTTATGACAGCACGAAGACGAAGAAAAGAAAATGAGATTATTGAATAATGCGACAGTGGAAAAGTTTTGCCTCTCAAAGGCAGACAACAAGGTGGGTTGTTGTTTTGCTCGCTGAACTGTTTATATATGTACATATATGCCATGTGAAATGGGGTTGTCAGACAGCCATTTTGGAGAGAACGAGACGCGATGACAGCAGGAAGGATGCCGTAGCATTTGCTGCATGCAGCTGTGTCATAGCGAGGCAGAGGTCATTTAGGGACTGGTTGTGGCAATGGCACCGTGCGTAACGGTGTGAGCCTCATGGCTCACTGCTTTCTTATATACTTACTCATTCCTGTGCTTTCTATATTATTTTATAGTTCGCTAAGCCAACATAATATGCACTCGGCTTGCAGCAATGCGGTAAGCGATGTGGAAATCGCATAGGTAAATGGCTGCAATGCCGACGCGTGCGTGTTATGAAAATATTTTCCAACACGCTGCACTGACAACTCACTCAACATCACAGCGCATAATTTTCTTTAAATTCGCAATTGTATTGAAATATTTTCTTGGTATTTCCACTCACGTTTTTTTTTGTTTTTTGTTTTTTTTTTTTGTATCAAGCATCTAACCATCTTTTCCGTACTTTCAGCTCTCCGTTGGCATCGAAAATGGTGTGCTCGAGTCATATAATTCCGATTTCGAACTACAATTCAGTCATCCGCTCAAGCATATTGTCGGCATGTGCCGCATCGTACACAAGCAGAGCAACACGAAAAGCGCCGGCAACGGTTTCCTCCAGTTGAAAGCCTTCACCAGCGTCGGCAGCGCCACAAGTAGCAATGCGAATGGTTTAAAAACGAACGGCACAGGTGGTGCCTTAACCACCTCCACTTCATATGGTTCGCTATCCTCGAGCGCAGCACTGCGCGAACGGGAGCGTGAACGCGAACGCGAACAGGCGTCGTTGGCCGCTGCAAATGGCGTCGATGGTGGTACTAATGAGCCAGTTAATGGCGGAAATGCGAATAATTTCATGGAATTTCTCGGTCCCATCACAGGCCTCGTGTACTTGATGAAGGATCCGCGTGACCCATTATTGCATATTTATCTATTCGAATGTGAAGCGGTTGAGGAGGTAAGTGAAAGAATTTCTTATGAACCATTAAGTAGTCAACATTACTAATACTAAGTAAAATGTGAAATATTCAAAGAGACAAGGCAGAGAAGTCAAGTTAAATGTATGGTGAATTCAAGCAGCAAAATTCTCTGTTTTCTAGAATTGTTAGAAAACATTTCTTCAACTTTTTCTGTCAAGTGATTTGGCATAAAATCGGTTTAAATTATTGATATTCTTATTTTTATTACTAAACCTCCAAAATTAATGCCACACTACTTTTATCAGTGTTTTATTTTCCGTATAATCAATTAAAGCTCTCGAAAGCTTTTATTTCGCAGTTTTTTTTTTAATTTTGAAGTCGATATTTTGTTTTATTCTTTTGTATTGTTTTGTTCTTCAATAATAATTTTGACAAGTGATCTTCACATTATCATTTCCGATTTTATAAAAACTGAAAGGTTTGACGTTTCAAAGTTTCTTAAGCTATAAGAATGAAATACAGGGTTTCATATGGTCAAGCAGTTTTACGCAGATGTTGCTTTAGCAAGAACTAGTGTGTTTCGGTGGCACCAGGCCTTTATAGAGGGCCGGCGAGAGGTCGCTGATGAAAACCGTGCTGGGAGATCTGCGACTTCGGCAAACACCGACAATGTGAATCGTGTGCGCAAAGTTTTGAACTCTGACCCTCAACTAAGCATTCGTTCAATCGCTCAGGTATTAAATTTATCGAAATTTGTGGTTCATGACATTCTGACAGAGCACTTGAACATGCGCAACGCCGATTGGAAGTTCACTACGACTACGCCCCTGTCACACCGCCTTTCTAGTGAACAGCTACCTTACCAATGCCGGCATACCAACGCTTTCGCAGCAGTCCTACAGCCCAGATGTGGCTCCACCGGACTTTTTTTTTTGTTTCAGCGCCTGAAAAGGCCGGTGAAGGGCAAGCATTTTGAGACAATAGATGGGATCCAAGCAGCATTTCGGATAGTCAACCCTGTATTCCCTCTCTTAAAGACTTTTATGTTCAAATATAAATTATTGCATATTCTTCAGCCAGAACTGTATATACACACAATTTTGTTTCCCGTATATGAAGTAGGCGGTTTCCAAAAAAGCCTTATATATATTTTTCCTAAACTTCTCTCTTTATACGGCCACCCGATCAGTCTACTTTTCCTTACCATGTGAAAGGAGTATATATGTATGTACCTGTATTTACTGCAAAGAGGTCAAATGTGGCCAGTGAAAAAATAAGGGACTACGACCCCGTATTTAAAAAGCAATTTAACCCATTAAAAGGACATGCAAATATTTGCATGCGAGTGTACAAATGCAAATAAATATGAAATAAATGAAAATTGCTTGAAATATGGTATTTAATTGTATTCGAATAGCGGTTGTTAGTTCTATTTGAAATGACCTCTTTTCAGCAAATACATACATATACATATGCGCACGAATGTTTTTAGGTTTATATACATTTGTATGTCGTCACCTGAAATGCAAAATAACGTCACAACATTTTCGTAAATTTAGAGTGGCATGAATGAAACACTAAATAAAATGGAACATGAGTGAAACAAAACTTTTATATTATTTAAAACTGGTTTATATCTGACCGCAGAACCTGAAAATGTTGAACTTATGTAATATTATGTATGTAATTTGAAGCAGTGAAGCGTGATTAATAAGACACTCAATTTCGAATTTTTTGATGATACGTTATTTTGCATTTCAGATGACGATATGAACATACAAATGTGTCGTTGTAAATTTGAAATGCAAATGAAAAAATTTTTTGGTGAGAAGTCTGCATTTGGAGAGTATTGATATGAGTGAATTTCTGTATCCGTACGACCAGACCTTGAAGAGTGGCAAATCGAATGAACAACTGGAGTGCGATTGACTGATAAAATGGAAATACAAGCTTCCAAAATTTAGATAGCAACGATTCCAACAATATAAATCAACCTTTTGAAAATACACGCAGAGCTTCCAATGAAATCTTACGCCATTCGCCATTTTTTCCTTCACAAAAGTAAGAAAGCTGTATCACACGTAACTCTCTAACTTGATTGTTCCTTTCACATTAATGTTTTTGTCAAGAAAGGAGTGCTTATATTAGCTTAGCTGAGAAGTGATGAATCGCAGGCGGCTTACACTCACATTCACGTATATTTATTCTTCCAATCATTCTCTATGTATGGAAAATAACCTTACTTTCAATGGCGAATCGAATAAACAAGTGGCATAAATCCCATGGATTTGCTACAATTTGTATCCATGTTTGTAAGTATGAAAAATGTAACAAATAATATCAGAGTCGATATTATGTATACATAACGGGTGATCCATTTCGAGGTTCCCTACTCTTTTAAAGAAAAAATACTGAAACTTCAAATTTAATGGGGAATGTTTATTATCATTCGAAATAAGATACTTTGGCATTTAGTTTTTGAAGATTATCTCTTTGAAATGTTGGCCGCTGCCACGTCTCAGATGATCCATCCGATGAGTATACTTTTTATGACTCGTTTCAGCATTTCGACGGCTCCAAGGCCTGAATCAAAGCGGGATTGTCTGCATAGACTTTAAACTTCACATATCCTCGTAGGAAAAGGTCTCACGGTGTGATATTACACGATCTTGATATTGATATGGCCAATCAACCGACTCAAAACGTGAAAATATTTGCTCAACAAAGTGTTCTCTCAATAAATGCATTGATTGATACGATGTGTGGGAAGTGGCGCCGTCTTGTTGAAACCAAATGTCGCCGAGTTCACGAGCTTCAATTTCAGACAACAAATATTCGGTTATCAAGGCGCGATAGTGGTCGCCACTGACGGTGACGTTCTCACCGGCATCGTTTTTGAAGAAATATGTACCGATGATTTCACCAGCCCGTTGTTTTTTCTGAATGAAATGGCAGCTCTTGATTCTCTTCARGTTGCTCTTTGTCCCAAATGCAGCAATTTTGTTTGTTTATATACCTACTACAAAAGGGTTTACTTTCACTAACCAAGGGTTAAATGTCGTAAAATATTCATCAAATTTTTTTGTTATTTTACATTTGTAAGGCAGGACCTTACTACAGCTATACCAGCTRTAATCACTATTTTATGAGGAATAAATATCCAAACCAATTTTTGTAGCGCCACACAACCATGGACAAACAGGTATTCGMTGTAATTTGCAWATATGAATATACATATGCATATAGCAGTATATGCATGTATGTATGTGTCACTTTTTCTATGAACCGATACAAAACGCTATGCAAATCCTTTATGCACCGTCGGCAACAGTCATATTTACATAAGCAAAAAAAAAAAGAAAACGGCTGCGAACTACTTGCAGTGGCGCCAGCTTCGTTAACGCCCTCGAAATCAAGTTGTAAACACCCGACAATGTCTGCTGGGTGGTGGGAAATTCAGAACTGTTCGTGCAACAAAACACACATGCATAATAAAAACTTACATATGTGTTTGTGTGTATCCTTTTTCGTTCGATACTCTAAAAAGTCAATTTCTGAATTAACTTTAAAAAGTTTGAAATGAAACTTTAGTAAAAAATTGACGCTGCCGTTAGCAACTTTTCTCTCGTAGTCTTTTGGATATGTATTGGCGCCTGTTCCAAAATTATTTCATAAGTTCTGCTTCCCGACGCTCATTATTATTGAGTCAATTTAGAATACCTTATTACAGTAGGAAAATTAGTTTCGGTGATAATATCGAAAATATAGGAAGACATCACCAATCGTATAGAGAAGACAAGCACGCTCTCGGTGCACACAATAAAGTCTGGAGCTCCTCGATCATTACGCGACATACCAAAATAAAAATATTCAACTGTAATGTTAAGTCCACACTTCTATACGGCCGGGAAACATGGAATCTTATAGCTTCTGAGAGCTAAACGCTGCAGGTTTTCATTAACCGATGCCTTTGCATTATTTGCTGCATTTTTGGGCACATCACCGCCTCTAATCCGCTCTTATGGTCGTGAACAAACCAGAAACCACTTTGAGATGAAATTTTCACAAGAAAATCGCGGTAACTCTATCATGATCTGAACGAGATCCAGTCCTAACTACATGGGACGCTATCGATTGGATGCCACAAAGCAGCCGACGGAAAGCTCGACTCGCTAAAACTTAGTGAATAAATCTGGTCATCGAAATATCAAAGGTCCAAAAAGTTGGGTGAAATCAAAGGGCTGACGTAGGTCGAAATAAATGGAGAAGTTTTATGCCGTACCTGTTCTCCCCGTGGAGCTCTAGTATACAATATATTTTCTATAGAACGTTAAATATACCAAATTTGAGATGATATAAGGATTATTTAAGCACGAATGTTAGCCTTCATCTCATCATTGGCCTGAAAATGACACATTATTTAGAAATCTGCTGAAATAAGATTTGTCATATCCATGTCACCTAATTTTGACATCAGAGGGCCAGTCATTCTTAATATAAAGACTTTAGTTTTATAATTTAATTGATCTATATGATATAGGTCACGCAGACTTTTGAAAGCACTGTAATCGTCAAAGTCTCTAACAATCCTTTGCGGTAGACATAACCCCTTATGGGTTTCCTCGAATAAAAAACAGCCTCTCAATAATTTTTTTCTCATAAAAAAAATGAAATATTTTATTCTAATTTTTTATTGTTACAAAAATTCACTGTTAATAAAGAAATTCCGAAATTTTTAGAAAAAATATTTGAAGCTCGGCCATTGCGACCCGGTGGTGACCGGTGGGCCTTCGGAAAGAAGATGCGGCCGCGTTGACAGGATAATTCCTTATTGGATAATCTAAAGCGAAAAATACGTGTTTTAGTGAAAACCTTAACTTAGAACTTGGACGAAGAAAAAAAAACTGTAAATTGAATTTTTGGCAGACATTTTTACAAAATTAAAATTCCGCGACATTTTTGTTTTTCAAATAGTTCTAATCGAAAAAATCCTTCGTCCAAGTTTTTAAGAAATGAATCTCAAAGACTTGTATAAAAT